TTAAAATTTTAAAACACGGCAACACGTTTTATAAAAAAACATAAAATTAACAATATAAAAATCATTTATTTGGTTATAACTTCATAATAATATATACTATAAAGTTTTTATAACAAAAAAATGTAAACAAGTATTCAAATTACTAACAAGTTGAAAAATGATTTTGACAATCTATATAAAACTAAAAAAAATAAAAATATATAATATGAAATATATTGTTTGGTGTAAGAAATTATGAAAAAATTATACAAGATTGGAAATGAAACACTATTAGCATCATTTTTTAAACCATTCTGGTGTAAAAAAAAATGATATAGCGTTGGGGATGGTTTAATCAAAATAAAATACTTACAATTATGTATATGTCAAAACAACTTAAACACATAATAATCCCCACTAATAGAAATTAGAATATCATAATGTTAAGGAACACAACAGCAATCACCATATTTTATGTAAGGGTCATAATAAAACTCATAAATCAAACCCCATGAAAAAAGCCCACATGCCATTTCCTTTATGAAACAATGAATTTAACAAAATACCTATGAAAAAAAAACTTTTTTTGCTTTTCATTTTGTGGTTACTTTACTTGTAGTAAATCTTTCCATGTGGTTAACTTTTCTCTTGGTTTCCCTTTTAAACTCCCAACTCTCTTCTCCTCAAAATCTATCTTTTTCCAATCATCAAACGTAAAGAATTTAATTTTCTTACTTTCAAGTAATTGAAGAAGCCCCTCTCTCCCTGGCTTTCTTGATGTTAGCTCTATTTTAGATACGTCTTCATAGATGCTTGCCACCTGTCATTTTTTTTTTATTAAAAAAACAATCATAATTTTATTTTATTAATTAGTCAGATAATTAATTAGATACTTACAGTTTCTTCTGCATCATAAAGATTTGTAGCAATTATTCCTGTTGGACCTCTTTTTAACCACCCACTTACATACAAACCATTTTCAGCTTCAGAAACATCATAACTAGATATAACTCGCCCTTTAATATTTGGAACCACACCTACAATTATAAAACACAAAATAAAACCAATTTTATTTTTTTATTTAAAAAAAATATATATTTTATTAAATGAAACAAACATACCTTTGGAATGGTCAAAAGGTAAACCATCAACTGGTATGGATTTGTAGCCTATGCTCTTAAGTACCAATCTGTATAAAATATATTATTTATGGAAAATTAAAGATTAAAAAAGTATATGATTTTCTTATGGTGTTACTTTTTTAAATTTTATTACCCGCATTTTATATCCTCATATTCCCCTGTCCCTGTTGCAATCTGATATCCAGAGTCACCATTTCCTATAAAATTAGATTTTGGTGTTAATTTTTATACAAATAGAAATAGTAATACAAAACATGCACTTTGATTATCATTCCAATGGAATGAACAATTCCATTCCAGTCTTTCTTTAATTCCATCGTACCAAAATTCTACCTTTTAATGTTGTCTTCTCAAAGTGCACACCACCAACATAGCCATTTCTGTGATCTGATTCAAGAAATTTATCAGGTTTCCGGAAGAAAGTGAAATCCAATTCCCGTTGACCTGAAGTTTGACCAGATGTGGATGATGTTGGATAACAACTCAAAGACTCTTTTCCTTATACGGTTGTTCTTCATTTCTTCCTTTCCAAAACAACAAAATCATATAACCATGTTTTAAATTTGCAAAAAAAGGGGAATAAGAGGTTGCATTGCATTAAATATATAGTCAAATAAAAAATTGAGGAAATGATTTTATTACCTCGTCTGCAGAGGTTTTTACAAGATCAGCTTCCTTGATGTTAATGTGCAAATCTTTGATGGCTGAAAAGAGAAGAAGTAGTTCAGCATCCATGGAAGCATAAAAATTAATCAAAGGGCATTTTGGACATTTGACCAGTACTTCACTATTACTCCACCCGAAAAGAAAATGCAACACATTCCATTTTGGGTAGTTACCAAAAATGGAATATTTCCTTATTGGGCAAGTTTTTCAATCTATTTTACTTTTTTGCCCCTTGGTAGTCATTGATTGATTTAGTAACTTCGATTTTGATTCACAAGTATTAAGGGGCATTTTGGACATTTCATCAATAGTCCTATATTTTTTACAGTAAACTATTTGTAAAGTCAAACATGACATTTTTTTGGAGTATTTCATAATATTTTTCATGATATAAAATATAAAATTAAAACGTATATGTAATAACTGCATTTCTAGTTCATATGAACATAAAAAGGACACATTTTTTCCACCTAAAACATTAGATTAAGAAAAAATATAATTTTTGAGCATTTGCTAAAAAAAAAAAAAGAATAAAAATTACCAAGAATTTCTCGTAGCTCTTTTGCAGTACAAGCTGCTTGTGTGGGCCCACGTCTGCCAACAAGATAAACTTTCCTGAAATTTATAAAAATATATATATATGAGGAACAAAATTAAATTTCAGAAGTTAGTTTAATATTTTAATTAGCAATTAATATAATAACCTTATGGAACTCTCCCTAAGAGCATCCAAAGCATGGCTAGCAATATCAGTTGTAGATAACTCTGTAGGTGACCTTAAAAGAATCCTTGCAACATCAAGAGCCACATTACCCTAACAATAAAAAAGTTATTTTATATATATGATTTAGATAGATAAAATTAAACCAAATAAAGAAAATAAGATACACCATTAAATAAATTACATATATACATACTTCATGTTTGTTTAAAATATACTATATGTATTTCAAATAGTCAAACAACAAGTTTGTTTATCATCAATCACTTTAAGAATTTTTTACAAAAGTACAAAATTAAATACCACAAAATCTTTAAATAGAATATAATCAAGAGAATATTTAAAAAAATAATAATAATTAAAAAAGTTGTGATTTTTTTAAAAACCTGTCCCAGAACAATGGCTGTGTCTGTGTTCTTCAAGTCAAGTGTCATATTACTGAAATCAGGGTGCCCATTATACCACCAAACAAATTCTCTAGCAGAGTGTACACCTTTCAATTCCTAAAATAAGTTCATAAAAAAACAAAAAAAAACAAAAATCGAAAACTCATGAGATTTCTGAAATGATTAGTGTCAATAAGTCAACAAGTCAACAAGACAACAACCAAACATACCTCTCCTGGAATGCCAAGAATTCTGTCACTTTCAGCACCATAAGCAAGCACAACCTGATTGATAATGATATATGATGATAAAGATTAAAGATTAAAGACATAAAGAAAGAAAGAAAGTCAAAAAGACGATATTGACCTTGTGAACTTACCACATGATAAATTTGGCGTAGCTCAGATAGAGAAATGGAGGATCCAAGAGACACGTTTCCAAAAAATGAGCATCTTTCATTATGTGCAACTCGTGAAAATTGGTTGATGACAATCTGTTGCAAGGTTTCTGGTCAACTAGATCAATTAAGATGATATTTTCAAGAAAAAAAAAATTAAAAATACATTCTTGAATCTTGATCCATTATTATTATTAAATAATACCTTTGTTTCAGGGTGATCAGGTGCTACCCCTGATCGGACTAATCCAAATGGTGTTGGCAATCTATCAATGATGTCAACTTCTGCTCCTTCATGTGCTTTCAGCATCTATTATTTATTATCAAAAGTAATTAGAGTTCATATATGATTTGGAATAATTAGAATAATACAAATTATTTATGTTCATAGTAACAAGAAGTTCAAATTGAAATTAATTTTCTAATCAGTAATTTGGCAAACTAGCTGAAAAGCTAGCTGGCAGCTGATAAGTCTGCTTATGAATTAATAATGTTTGGTATAAAGTAGCTTATAAGCTAGATTGCAATGTAAAATGACATAAATGGACATTTAGATATATAACTAAAAGAAAAAAAATGGATATAAATAAGGGCATATTTTGAATATTTTTGAAAAAGGTCCATAAGCTTATCAAAAGCTATCTCAAAGTAGCTTATCAAAAGCTAAAATAAGCTACTTTTTGTGGTTTTACCAAACAGTAAATTACAATAAGCTAGCTTATTTTTGCCAAACAGGGTCAAAATCTGATCATCAATTTGGGAGTGGATTCAAAAAAATCTATATAGTATCCATTTCTTTATGTAAACCCTTATAAACACACAAACACACAGACACACATACATACCTTTTCAGCTGTGTAAAAACCAGCAGGACCACTGCCAACAACACAAACACGCAATGAACGAGAGGTAGCAAATGAAAACTTCCTAGCAATCATTGTTCTCTAATCTCTTCTTCTTTATTATTATTTTATTCCTGTGTAAAGAAATGCAAGATAAGTTTGAAACAGCATAAAGAAATGCACCAATATTTACAAACAGACAATGAATACAAGATTGCATATTTAAGTTTACTGGTTAACAAGAATGAACGAATATAACCAATGAATTGACCAAATAGCATACATGTCAAGGTGCAAATAATACAAAAGACACGCATCATATAATGTGCAGATGACATCCATACAGTATTCTAAAGTTCACAACTTTTGAAGGGAAGGAATATTAAGATCATGGATGCTAATAAATTTAAGCAGACAATTTCTCTTGAGAATTATATATTAGCTTCAACAATCATATATATGATTGATTAAGCATGGAGAATTTCAGATTAGATCATTTTAGCACATAGACAAATAAGATAAATTTTTCACAAGATTAGATTATTCTCAAGAAGGCTGAGATACCAAAACGAATTAGACTCGAGCCTTGATTTGAAGCTCAAGGTCGAGCTCGTGAAATACTCGACAGTCTCGAGCTCGGCTCGGCTCTGCTCGACTAAGATTTAAAAAAAAACTTATAATTCACTAAATTGAGTAAGAAACATCAGAAGGTGTGCATGATTCCATCTGCAAATCTGTAATACGATTCAATACCATTGTGAAACATCATAAGGTGTTCATAGTTTACTTGTTTGTTACCTTTTTGCTTTGTGCGTTCGTTGCAAATGTCATTTACCAAACCACCATTAACAACATTAACACAACCACAATCAATTTATTACAGTTATATATCGAAATCAATTGCAAAAAACCAAAAGAATTGGTCTAGGTAACGAAATGAAGGAATCCGGACTTACTCAGTTACAGCTTCGATGTCGATTTTGTAAACAAGAAGCGCGTCGTTCTCACTTCTCAGCAACCTTCCGTGAAGCGGAGGCCCGCGATTAGGGATGGTGGAGCGGCGGTGACGAGTAGGGATGGTGTAGTGGCGGCCGGTAAGTGGAGGTGGCGTGGTGGCAATTTGCGAAGGATAAGCGAAGATGTAGGGTTTCATTCGGGTTTGAATCATGCCGTTTTTTTTTTAATGAATAATTATAAAGAAGTGGCATATATGTAAATTACAATAGGCAAGCTTGGCGCGATAAGGTATTCGAGTAGCTCAAGCTCGAACTCGGCTCGATTAAAGCCGAGTCAATTTTAAGTATTTTCCAAGTCGGTCTCGAGTTTCTCATGAGTTGGCTTGTCTCGTTTACACCCCTAGAGGCGAGAGAGAAGAAGGAAATCGTTAGGGGCAAACGACTGAACGAGGATGAGCAACGAAATTCCAGACAGGAAACGATACCAAACTCATACCATTATCGAATCGGCATCGTTTAAACGGTATTTGGTATTTCAAAATCATGAAATTCGGTATTCGATAATGTCGTTATTGATGCTAGTACCGAAAACCGATATCATTTCCGATACCGATACCAATAATGTTAGTTTGGTTCAATGCTTGGTGCCGATTTCGCACCTAATTCGATATTCAGGAATATCGGGTCGGTGTCGGTTCCGTCTCATGTTGATATGATCCAATAAAAGACTTATTTATCATCCAGATGTTATATTAAGGGGCTACCAAATGATCTGGATCAGTCTGATTGAGAGTGTCTGTAACATCCCAAGAATCAGAGTAAAATTTTCATTTTTCAAAAATAACCCAATGACCATATGTGTTTACAAGACATTGTTTCAAAAGTGATAGTCAATAATCAGAGTATCTTAAAACCCAAATAACATAAAATCTGAATGATGTGCATTCTCACGCCTTCGCCTTGTCACGATCATCTGATGTACTTGAAACAATAAACTGAAATTGTAAGTCAAAGCTTAGTGAGTTCCCCCAAAGTACCATCATGCAAACATTTAAACAACACATATTGGGCCCACAACCTCCTGGTTGGATTACCCCTGGCCCACAACCTTGCGATTGGAATGCCCCGACCCGCAACCTCTCAGGTGGATTGCCTAATACATGATAGGTCCACAACCTCCTAGTTGGATTACCCCTGGCCCACAACCTTCCGATACGTTCATCAGAAAATATTTCTAGATCCCAATACACCCAATGCCAGATAGCTGCCAAAAAGCACAACCCAGAAAACACAATATGCGCTCCGGCCACACCTTCGTAACTCCAAATACCCGGATTGGTTATAGTCCCCCCCGTGATACTCCAACCACCCCATGAATTGGTTATTCCTAAACGAGTCATGAAGGGTATAACGAACATACCCTGTCTCCACATTGGATCAAGAACAGGGTCAGAAGGATCAAAAACTGCTAATTCATACAGGGCCATAGAACCGGCCCAACCAGCAACCAAAGCTGTATGCATTATATGAACAGAAAGCAACCGTCCGGGATCATTCAATACAACGGTATGAACACGATACCAAGGCAAACCCATGGAAATACCCCTTTATGAAAGAAAAAAGACACTACGTAACTTTATTGCATTGGAAATATACTATGACTATGTTATGGACCCCCTCTTTAGTGGATTATTTCAACGCAAGGGTTCATATTTGTTCTATTCTGTTGGTAATAATGGAACAATTTTGTTCGTA